CATTAGCACAGCTCTAGGACACATGAATCAATAAATGCCAATATAAACTTGAAGACATTATGTTAGGTGAAATAAGCCAGTTACAAAAAGACAAATGCTGTATGTTCCACTTATATGAGATACCTAAAGTAGTCTACTGCATAAAAGCAGAAAGTAAAATGATGGGTGTCAGGGCCCGAGGAAGAATGAATGGGGAATTGGTGTTTAATGCGGGCAGAGTTTCAGTTTGGAAAGATGGAAAAGTTCTGAGGATGCATGGTGGTGCTGGTTGCACAACAACATGTATGTAATTAAGTGTACAGAGCCGTGCACTTAAAAATGGTTAAAATGAGAAGTTTTATTTTATGTATATTTTACCACAAAAAATTATCATAGCCTTTTCTGCCTCATTAAGATAATTTGGAATTTAATACATGTTTGCTCCCCTAGGAGCTAAAAAGATGTAGTTTTTTAGGTGAAATCTCCCCTCACCTTTTTTGTTGTTGTTGTTGCTGATGGTGACTGTGGCATAGGAAGAAACATATTTTCAACAAAAACGATAGTGGGAATGATAGAGAAGGTCAGATGAATCTGTTACTAAGAAAGTCCTTCATGAAAGAAGGAGACAGAAGGAAGACCAGGAAGAAACACAAGTGGCAGTGGTGGGGGAAGGAGGGACAGAAAGGAAGGTGAATAATTGAAGGGTTGGAACTGTGATAAGAGGTCACCCAGGACATCTTCCTGCTGCAGGCCAAACAGCCCTGGGTGTTTTTCTTACTCCAAAAATATCTCCAGGAAATAGACTTCTTATTTCAATATAGGAAGCCAGTCCAGGTTCAGACAACACAGCACAGAAGGTGGTCCAAGAAGTTCAAAAGTCAATTCCATGTGTAGATGAATGCACTCCAGAACAGAGTGGTAAAGACCAGATCCTATAACAGAATCTGACATTAGGCTGCTCAGTAAATGTCAGGAATGTGGTAAATAATACACATAAAATGCACAGTTGTTACCATAGTCAATAAACAATCGAATGCGGAATAAATGGATTGAAGTTATGTCTACAGAGGGTTGTTTTCCTTTCTAATCAACTGACTGAACTTTTCTTTAATTCTGCTTAAAGTGTGCCTTTTCAGGTGTAAGGTGTAGTAATGAAGTCAGGCCTGATGGCTGGGGTTCGTTAAAAACCAGTAGTCCTAGGGCGCCACCTACTGGTGAGACAACTGCAAAGGCCTGACCGAAGGGGCTGTCCAAGCAGTAGCAGCAACAGGTCTCTAACATCAGTGATTGTAAGTTGTGTTCTGAAACTGTGTAGCGTTTTCAGGGACATAGCGAGTCCTAAACTAAAACCCACTCTGTTGTAAGAGCTGGGTTTAATAAAATCTAATTTCATTGTAAGTGTCATCCCTCTTCAGAGAATGCTGCCTTTTAAATATCATATTTGGTATAACAAATGTCATATAATGAATACCTGTGAACCCATTACCCCACCCAATCCAGAACACTTCACATGTCATCAGTGTGACAGTGACTAAATAGTGGTGATATTGTGTTCACATAGTACAACAGTGAGATGAAAGAACCCTAGGTCCATGTAACACCATGAGTGAATCTTAGAAGCATAATGTTGATTTTTTTTTTAATAAAGCCAGATCTGGAAGTCTACATAGAGTATGGTGCCATTTTTATAAAGTTCATGAACAAGAGAATATTCATTTTCAAGAAAATCAAATTCTTTGGAGCCTTTAACACTGCAACAACAAGGGGTGTGCTGGGTAGACCATCCCATGTATAAATGTGTTCATTTGGCTCCCTCCACAGTGCACCAGGTTCAGAATGTGTGTGTGTCCTGACTAAAATCACCCTGGCAGAAGGAAAAGGAGAATATCCCTATAAATGTTAACTCACTGTTATTTTCCTCCCTCTAATCACCAGCAGCTTTGGACAAGCTTACCGAATGCCTGTGATTCCACTCTCTCAACTCCTATCAAGATGATAGAAGAATATACCAGTGAAGATAAATCAGTATGGCGCTCGAAGCTAGAAAGACCAAACAAAACAGAGAGGACTTTCTAGAGAAGGTAAAGCAGATGAAACCCTCCGTTCAGCCAAGGAGACCGAGCCAGTGCGGGTGTTTGCACCAAGGTGCTCAGGTTGTATGCAACAGGGGCAGACTGCCTCTGCGAGGACAGCCGGAGATCCAGGCTTGGGCAAGAAGAGGGACCGGCGCAGCTTCAGAGATCTAGGAGTGGGAAGTACAGAGACTGGTACTGTGTGAATGATAAGCTCCAACTCCTGTTTTCATTCTTGCCTGAATCCAATCAAGGTACAAAGTTCCACAACAAGAGAGGATGTTTACTCCCCTACCTTGAGTCAAGGGCCTCCTTGGCTGGAAGGGAAAGCCCCCTGACTAAAGTCCCCACAATAGGGAGCACATTCCTACCGGGTGCTTAGTACATAAACTACGTAGTTGGGAAAATACTGACCCCTTGTGAAAAACAAAAAGCCTGTTTGATAGTGTGGCTAGGGTAATTCCATTTATATAAAAATCAAAGAACTCTGCATGTGTGCTTGTGTGTAAGTACCTGTGAGTGATGTAAATATCTTTAAACAACAAGGTGGAGAAAATATACCTGAAATTTTTTTAACAGTGGTTCCCCTGAAGAAGCATTTTGGGATTTGGGTGCACAAAGGGGAAATTTCACTTATTACTCTAAGTAAAAACATAAAGTTACTTGAATTTTTAACATCAAGCATATTTTATGCTTTGAGTCGGTAAGAACTAATTGAGTACATATACTATTGTGTCCTGACTGTACATTTGAATAGAAGAGTGGCGCACAACTTGGCACAAATCATATCTACTTTCTAACTTGTTTAAAATCCAAGTAAAAAGAAAGGATGTTTACTTAAGAAAATAAATCATCACGTAAGATAGGTAGACACTATGTTCAGAGCCAACCAGATGAGACAGACATGAAGCCCATCCAAGATTTCAGTGGGGGAAGCGATCAGAGCTGAGGAAAATCCGAGCAGAAGACAGTGCCAGGCTGGTTACGAAGCAACAGCTTAAATAGGGAGAGGAAACGGGAGTTGGCGTCCCAGGCAGACGGAGGGCGAGGGAAAGAAAAAAAAAAAAAGATGAGAATGCCTAAGACGTCCACTGATCAGGGGCGGGAGTTCCTGGCTAGACAGAGCGGATGTTACCTAGTACAAGAAATGCAGTGAACCAGCCGCAAGGACCTGCATGCTGGGAATTTGACTTCAGCAGATGGCCACGGGAGCCACTGCAAGCTCTCCAGCCCAGAAGTGATAGATGCAGATACTATCTAGAGCAGTGATGACGAACCTTTTGAGCTCGGCGTGTCAGCATTTTGAAAACCCTAACTGAACTCTGGTGCCGTGTCACATATAGAAATTTTTTGATATTTGCAACCATAGTAAAACAAAGACTTATATTTTTGATATTTATTTTATATATTTAAATGCCATTTAACAAAGAAAAATCAACCAAAAAAATGAGTTCGCGTGTCACCTCTGACACGCGTGTCATAGGTTCGCCATCACTGATCTAGATAGATACTTTGGGAAAATGAATCTGTCAATGGCTCAGGGAAAACACTGGGTGGTGGAGAGAATAGGAGCAGTTAGGTGAAGAAGGAATTAGTGTAATCCAGCCCTGGCCAGGTAGCTCAGTTGGTTAGAGCATGGTCCAGATACACCAAGGTTGTGGGTGCGATCCCCAGTCAGGGCACATACAAGAATCAACCAATGAATGCATAAATAAGTGGAACAACAAGTTGATGTTTCTCTTTCTCCCTGCCCCCAACCCCCTTCCTCTCTCTCTCAAAAATCAATCCTATATAATAAAAGGCCGGGACCATAAGCAGAACGACCAGAACAACCGCTCGACCAGTCGCCATGAGGTGCATTGACCACCTCTCTGTCCCTCCCCACCACTCCTGTCCCGCAGGCTCCAATCGCAGCATGGCGAACGGGTGGGGGGGGAGGGATGGGAGGGGGGCTGGGACTGGGGGCTGTTGAGCTGCAGTGAGCAGTGAGCGTCATGGAGCTTTGTGGGGCTGCGGAGGCAAGCATCACGGAGCAGGGAGCATCACGGAGGGGCGGGGACATGGCCCTGATCGCAGGCTAGGCCTAGGGACTCTACTCACGCACGGTTTCGTGCGCTGTGCCTCTAGTCAATTATAAACAAGAAAGAAATTAGTGTAATCTGAGTTTATGAGGTCTGGTCTACAGCAAAGGATTAAAACCAGCAAAGAAAGCACAAATGACAATATGAGATAATATCTATGGGCCAAGCATCTTCCTAAATGATTTATATGTTTATGTAACATATGTATATATTTATAACATACATATAAGATTTATGTAATTCACTTAATTCTTACAACAGCCCTGTAAGATAGATGCCATTATTATCCATTTTCCAGAAGAGGAAACTGGGGCCTGAAGAAGTTGTTTGCCTAACATCGCACGGCTAAAAAGTGGTGGGGAGCTCTTATTTGGAGCCACTATACTTAAAGGGAGGCCAAGAAGAAGAAAGAAAAGGTTACACTGGGCATATAAGGAGGAGGACAAGTCCAAGTCTATAAGCCTGTAGGATAGAGGGTGCTAAGCTCCAAAGGACGAAGGGGACTGCATCAAGAGTGCTACAGAGAAGACAGCAGACGTCCAACATCAGCTCTTCTTCTCCTAGTCAGGGGGCAGGAGTCAGGGGTCCCTTAAAGAATCTGAAGAAAGAATGGGCCTTCTCAGTAGCAGAAAACCCACACATGCGCAAACAAAACATCACACACAAACAAAACATCACACACACACAATTTCCGTAGGCTCATGAACTCCAGGTAAGTCTTGCCCCAAATATACCGTGCAAATAATTCAATAACAAACATTTCTATAGTAGAAATTTTATTTCCATTCATAAAATATATCACTAAATAGCTGAAAAAGTTACATATTATCTTAAAACATAGATTTAAAAAATGATATCAGCTTCTCCTCAGCAAAATTTTTTTGTTTTATGTATTTACAAGAATATACTATACTTAGGTACACAACTTTCACTCAAGCCAGCCTGAGAAGGCCTTTGGATGTAGGTAGATGCTCCAATGAAGTTAATTTTCAGCTCTTCCTGCCTTGTGCAAATTCAATTTTACAAAAGTTCCTTTGAAAACAACAGCAGATATAGAGAGCTTCTAGAGAAAAGTCCAGCAAAGCAGCAGCTGAGAATACATTTTCTTTTAGTGATGAAGTTAATCTTGTTTTGGTAATCGATAACCAGTTGAAGGTGAGGGGGATAGGAGTTCTTAAGACTAAATTGTTTCTCTACGAGTCTTCAGCGTGATCCTGCGGAGAGGGCAGCCCTGTGCCCGTCTCTCTGCTGTAAGGTTGCCTGTTTTGGTAGCCGGAAGGATGTTTAGAAACATGGTCGTCCATGTTCTGATACATCTGAATATGGGAAAGAGACAGAACACTCACCATCTGGTTCACACTTACATGTCATGTGACTATATTGCAAATTATTACTTACTTATACTATGCATAGGCTTTAGAGGCTATTCTACATATTAGTTGATAAAGCAATTTTGTGCCGTCTGTTAATGGAGAAATCAAGTCATAGTCAAATATTTTATTTCATTATTGTTTCTACTTTTAGATATAAAATCTTCATCTAGAAATCCTAAAGCCATGCAGAAAAACCACAAAAGAAAAAGTCCACAAAAAAGACAACTGTTCATTATGCAATTAATATAGGGAATTGATTCTTGATTTCTCACTTGGGAGTTTAGTGACTTTTCTAAAACATTTTTTATTTATTTTATTTTTAAAATACATTTTTATTGACTTCAGAGAGAAAGGAAGAGGGAGAAAAAGAAATATCAATGATGAGAGAGAACCATTGATGGGCTGCCTCCTGCACGGCCTACCCTGGGGATTGAGCTCACAACCTGGGCATGTGCCCTGGCCAGGAATCGAACCAAGACCTCCTGGTTCATAGGTTGATGATCAACCAGTGAGCCATGCTGGCTAGGGCAATACATCTTTTTTGTGAAGTGAACATAGCAGTTGGTGATGACCTATTGGACTTGCTGAAGCAAATGTATATCTCTGGCACTGAATTTCTAACCATCTAACGAAGACTGTGACAAAAATACCAATAATACTTCAAATTCAACATTTCTAAACCTGAATTCATTATGTTTTACATCTAAATCTTCTCTTCTTCCCGCATTTACAATTTCACTTAACACACTGACATTCATCCAGTCCCACCATCTAGAAATTTCAGAACTACCTCCTCAAGCTCTCCCTATACCTACAGCCAACCAGTTACTGGGTCTAGTTCTGATTATATCACTTCTTTTAATGTCTTCCTTTCCATTTCTTTAAGTGACTTTTAAATGAACTTTTAATTGTACAATAATACATGAGTACATTCTCCTTATAAAAATTTTAAACCCTAGGTTTTCAAATGTGTCAAGTGTTTTCAATATAAAGAAGTACATAAGATTTTCTTAAACTTTAAAAAATGGTTTTTTCTATACATAGTTATGTTCTCCTTTTCATTCTGAATGTTATTTGTGTTTTCCCTTTTCCATAACTATTTCTTTATGTTTAACATGCTTAGTGGTGTATTTGAATGCTTTATTAGTGTACAGTGTAAACTAGAGCCAGACTGCTGTATTCAAATCCTAAGTATGATGTGTACCGTGTTACCTTGAATAAATGACTTCACCTCTCTGTACTTTTACTTGTTGCTAAAGAGGTAATACTAGAACCCACCTCATAAGATTGACATGAGAATTACATGAGTTATTATAGGTAATATATTAGTAGAGTGTGTGGTAAATATTCAAAAATGTTAGCTATTATATTATTATTATTAGTTCAAAAAACAACTTTTGGTTTTTCTAATCACCTATTATTTTGTTTTTAATGCTGTTCTCAGTTTTAATTAATTCTGTCTTTATTAATTCCCTCCTTCTGCTTTGTTTATTCTCTTCTTTCTTTTCCTCCTCCTTATTCTTCATGTTTTTGTAAGCTTCTTCCGTTGAAAATACAGCCATTTATTTTAACTCCTTTTTTATTTTCTAATAAATGAATTTAAGTTAAAATTTTAGCTAGCTCCCACAAGTTTAAATATGCAGTGTCCATTTTTATTTCTTTTTCCTCTTTCCCCTTTTTCTCCTCCTCCTTTTTAATCAAAGACTTGATTTGTAATTTCTAATATATGCCTTTGGGGCTTTTCGGGTTGCTATTGGTAATTTCTCATTCCACTGCACTGAGTTTAGTGGCCTGTCTGATAATAATTTTATTTATTTTAAAGTTCTCTTTCTTAAGTGGACTTACTAGTTCTTGCCATTTTGTTTTTCCTATATCTATTAGTCTCTTTGTTCTTTCTCCCTCAGTTTTTGGGTTGATCAGGTTTTCTATGGTCCTTGATTTCCTCCACATTGGACCTGAGGTTATATAGTAGATTTCTATTTCACCAGTGGTTATATTTTCATTTTTCACACCCATTTTATTCTTACATATATTTAACAGTGTGGCTGCTCCCAATGCAGAACTTCTGCAGAATCCCATTAGATCTCTTCCTACCCTTTTATGAAAGCACTTTTCCTTGTTCTTTCAAAGCACCTTCTGTTGTGGGTTTTCCCTCTTCAATTCAATCTTAACTGCTTGCATTGTCTCAGGGATTTTCCAGTTTCTGGTCCACAAGGATCTCCTTGTTTTAAACACAATTATGCCTCACTTCTTTTAAAGTATACATTTGCGTATTTCTTGTCATCTATGAGGGCTGATATGAGAGAAGAGATGATGTGAGTTCAAGCCCCACAGCCACTGCCCTAGTTTGCTCCCTCATTTGTACTCACTCACCTACATGTTGCACTCACCTCTTTATTTTTTATTTTTTAAATATATTTCTATTGATATCAGAGAGGAAAGGAAGAGGGAGAGATAGAAACATCAATGATGAGAGAGAATCATTGATTGGCTGTCTCCTACACGCCCCACACCGGGAATCAAGCCTACAACCCAGGCATGTGCCCTGACAGGGAATTGAACCGTGACCTCCTGGTTCACAGGTCAACACTCAATCACTGAGACATACTGGCTGGGCACCTCTTTATTTTTATTATGTTGTGTTTTTTTTTTTTAATTTTAGAGAGAGAGGAAGGGAGAGGGAGAGAGAAAAAGATTGATGTGAGTGAGAAATATCAACCAGCTGCCTCCCTCATGCATCAAACCCACAACCTTTTGGTGCATGGGATGACATTCAACCAACTGAGCCACACTGGCCAGGGCTGCACTCACCTCTTAACTGATATACTTACTCTCACTCGTTTGCCTTTGTTTTCCCTAATTTATTTTTATGATTCCTTTCTTTCCTTCTAGAAATATTTACGTCCAACTTCTATATACTAAACATTATGCTAGCAGCTGGATATACAATGGTGAACAGCACAGACGTGGCCTCAACCCACATTTGTTCATTTATTTAGTGACAGCTATTGTCTCCTGTCTAGGGGACTCAAAGATGAGGTGATATAAAGATGAGCAGCACCAGCCTTGTCCTCATACATCAAGTCCAGGGATGAGAAAGACAGGCCCACAAAACAAAGTTATCATATAATATGATTTGCATCTCATATAAAAAGTGTTATAGAACCCTAGCTGGTTTGGCTCAGTGGATAGAGTGTCAGCCTGCAGACTGAAGGGTCCCAGGTTCAATTCCGGTCAAGGGCATGTACCTTGGTTGCGGGCACATTCCCAGTAGGGGGTATGCAGGAGGCAGCTGATCGATGTTTCTTTCTCATCGATGTTTCTAACTCTCTATCCCTCTCCCTTCCTCTCTGTAAAAAAAATCAAAGTATATATATTTTTAAAAAGTTATAGAGTCTGAAAGAAGGAGCCTGAAAATTGACTAGAGAAGTTAGGGGAATCTTTGTAGAGAAGAGAATATTTGATCTGGCTCACTTTTTATATTAATTGAGGAATAATTCACTATAATACTATATTAGTTTCAGGTATATAACAAAGTGATTCAAAATTTGTCTATATTACAAAATGATCATCACATAATTCTAATTAACATCTGTCACCATACATAGTGATCTGGGTCTTTAAGACAAATATTGAAGCATGTTTGTCAGCTCTAAAATCTTCAATGGTTCACCGCTCTTTAAATAACACTTTAGTAGGTTATTCAATGATCTCCCTGCCCTAACTCTACACTATTGGGGTTGGGTTATATCTAAAAGTATTAGCCTACATTTTTTCTATGCGTTTCCCTCCCTTTGCACTTGTTCTCGGAGGGCACTTTCTTTCCCTATCCATGATAAAGCAGAAACAGAGATTCTACAAAAACCATTCACATGCATTCCAGAAGAGGTGACCCCAAGCAAAGTATGCTGGCCAGGTCTGTTTTCCCATTCAAGAGCCTGGACGTGATTGTGCCTAGTTGTGAAAAGATGGAGTGGTAGCAGAGGAGGGACAGAGTTTGCTCACAGTGGGCAGAGCTGCCTGATATGGTTGTGCAGATTACACCTTGCTCAAAGGTGCCCAGCCAAGTGAGCAAGTGGGGACTGAAACCCATATGTGCTCTGCTCTCCAGGAGTCTAGACTGGGTACGCCAGCCAGGAGTCAGGGACTTCTTTTGGGGATTCATCCCACCCATAGGGGGCGCCTTTTCCTAATTTACCTAAAGAAGCTACTGCTGAGATATTGGTAAGAAAACAACTTTTCATCACAGAGGGTCAGGGAGAGAGCTGAAGAAATTGGGGGGAAAGTTGGAGCACTGTCTTTGAGCATGGATACCCTCAGCTGAAGCATCATCTATAGCAAGGGTGGGGAACCTTTCTCCTGCCAAGGGCCATTTGGGTATTTATAACATCATTCGAGGGCCATACAAAATTATCAACTTAAAAATTAGCCTGCTATATTGGTCAAACATTTAATATACTCACCCTAATGCCTTAGCAGGGCCAGACCAAATTATTTGGGGGGCCTTATTTGGCCCGAGGGCCGGATGTTCCCCACCCCTGATCTATGGAAAGCTTGCTATTCCATTCCTGATGCCCCCTGAACAGAAGGAAGGGAATCTGGACATCCTGTGTGTGCGTGGGGTGGGGGTGGGGGGGGCATGAAAGGAGAACCGCACACCACGACCAAGGTGATCCTGACCAAAGCCAAGCGGTTCTTCATTAGCAGTGGCCCCTCCCACCTGGTTATACTCACCACCTTCACAGTCTCGTTTCCTCCATTTCCCCCCACTCACCCTATAATGTAGTCACAACCATTTATTTCCCACTCTAATTTCTCAACTTTGACCCTTTATATTACTCAGCTAGCATGGTACACACGACTAACCCTCCATTCCCCATTAGCCAAAATACTACACATTCTTCACAGCACAGCTCAAAAACCAGCTCTGTAAACCTGCACCGAACTTCCCAACAAGTAAAAATCATTCAACCCCTTTTCTTTACTCCAACAGCTCATTTCTTGTTTCTCTCTATAACTCTCCTTTCAACTTATTTCACGGTGTCATTAACTGCTTACAGGTAATCTGTTCAGTAGCTATAGTTCCTTGGGGGCTTTTTATCTCTCACAACCTTTTTGACCTAATTTCCTGACAATAACTTCGTTTCTATACGCGATTTTTTAAAAATCATAGCAGGAGGAGAGGACACTCACTATCTACATAGGCCTCTAGAGAGACCACAGAATTGAAAATGGACTCTGAATAATTTCAAAACAGAGGACAGATAATGCATTTAAAGAATGAGATTCATATTTAACTAACATTTATTAACTACTAGGTGCCTGCTATGTGTTAAGACTTTTCACATATGTCATCTTTTTTAAAAAAATAAGTTTTAAAAATATTTTTATTGATTTCAGAGAGAAAGGGAGAGGGAGAGATAGAGCGAATCATTGATCGGCAGCCCCCTGCACATGCCCCTACTGGGTATCAAACCTGAAACCTGGGTGTGTGCCCTGACCAGGAATCAAACAGTGACCTCCTGGTTCATAGGTCAATGCTCAACCACTGAGCCACACTGGCCAGACACATATGTCTTCTTAATTACTCCTTAAAATTATGTGAAGTAAGGTTTATTAATCCCATACTTCAGATAAGGAAACAGACCCCAGAAAAAGCTAAGTGACTTAAGTCATATAAAAAGCAAATTATGGAGCCAAGATTTAAACCTAGGTATGGGGAGTTCAAGGTGAATCTTTTGTTCACTTCACCTAGGGGATGGCTCCTTTTGCTACACCAGGTGGTACTGATGAGGCAAAGAATCATCAAAGTAATTCCATGTTCCCAAAGTTCAAGGATCATTTAGCTTAGCAACCCATTCTACATGTGAGAAAACTAAGGCCCAGAGAAATAAAGTGATTTGCTATAATTCACACAACTCTTAGGGAGCAGAGTAGTAGAGCTGGTATCAGTCACTCACAGCATCAGGTCAATGTTCTTTCCACTCTACTATGTTACGTGATGGCATTGTACAAAGCTCCATGTTGAATCAGGAAAGGAAGGTCAGGGATTAAATTTTATTTAGTTGTCTAGTCCTCTGCACTGGACACTTAAAAGCATTTAATTCCTTAATCAAATGGCTGAAATTTTCAGAAAAAACTCCCCCCCCCAAAAAAAATCCCTTATTAATAAGTATGTCTCACCCATACTACCTTTTTCTTTTTTTAATTAAATTTAACTTTTTGTAAAACTTTTCCATTACAGTTTATATTAGATTCACGTGTATCACTCCACACAGCTTTTAAAGGGCAACCACGACAACTTGGGGTGAGGAAGGCGACTTGGTGCCGTGGGTTCTCAGGAAACCCGCAGCGAGTGTTCTCAGTGCCCTTTTATATAAGGTCCCGCTTGAGAAAGTGCCGTGCCGCCACATACCGCTTCCTCCGCGTCTGCCAGCTGACATCCCAAACATGAAGTCAGGTTAGAGAAGGATGGCCGTTTCCTGGAGTCGAAAGCCCAGCAGGATTGCATTATAAAGTATCTGTAAAAGAAACAGAACAAGGAGCAAGATGAGGAAATCTGAATGGAGAAAAAGGGATAATTTTTTACATAATGAAGTACCACCGATGGCCAGGGAGCTGCGTGTTTGTGGCATGTTTGTTTTGTGGCAAGTACTTGACTGGATTTTGAACTCATATCAGAAAGGACAAATTTGATGATGGACAGAAATGCATTTTAAAAAATATGATGTGGACCACAAGTCAGGAGATGGAGTCTTATCACTCAGGATCCCTCAAGCAAAGGAACTGAAACCCAGAAGTGAGAGTACCTTAGGGCAGGAAAGGTTCGGTTTTGTTCAGAAACCCCCCAAACACAACGGGGGAGTTTTCTTTTCTAAAGAGGAATCACATGAGGTTTGCATTAAGGAGTTTTACTTATCTTGTCATGAACTGGGAACTAGACAGACTAAGCATTTCTAATTACAGCCACTTCACAGTCTGTGTGAACTCACATTTCTTCTGTAGCATAAAATGGCTGGTCCATTTTAAATCCACTCTGAATGAGTTTATAGAAGTTCGCATCAACTGGAATGCCAGGGTAAGGGTTGACACCTAAGGGAAACATTGGGGATTAGAAACATTTATTCATTCTTCATTTCTTTTCCTTTCCTTTCCTTTCCTTTCTTTCCTTTCCTTTCCTTTCCCTTCCCTTTCCTTCTTTCCTTTCCCTTTCCTTTCC